TCACGAGGAAGAAAGCGACCCTCGAGAAGGTATCACACGTTGTTCATCGGACAGGCGTTATTTGCTATTTCAAGGCATGCAGCTTAGAATTAAAAGGCTTATCAAATCTGCTCATGGGGTGTAAGAGAAGAGCGCCAATAGGTCGCCAGCATGAAGTGTTCCATCGCGTCCTTAATTTTGCCAGGATAAAAAGCGTGCTTCATGTCCTGTCTTCGGTGCCGCATTTTTTTTAGAAAATTTTCGCTGCCGATTTATCGTTTTTTTTTTTTTTTTGATTTCACAGCGAAACACTAGTTAAGAAGTATTTCTTGATTTTTAAAACTCCAGTGCATGAACTGTGTGTTTTTATTGCTTGAGCCTTAGTCGATGATTGAGCTTGTACTTTCAATTTGTCCAGTGATTGTGGCCTTTTGGAATCATATCATTATTAACTCAGCAGTTTCTAGTACACACATACATTAATATCGTTGCAGTGGAACTGTAGCATTGCTGGACATTGTGAACAGCGCCGAAAATGGTATATTTGTTGCGAATTGTGTCCACGTCCTGTCACAGCTTATCGACTCTCTGGTAATGGCATGCGGTGGACTTTTGCCTCTTCTTGCTGCTGCAACATCACCAAACGTAAGCCGTTCTAATATTTAGGCTTTTAATTTATCCTTCCAGGCAATGATTTGAAGCGAAAGTAAGGACTGCTGGAGGACAAGAGGGTCTCTTCATGCAGTTAGCCTAGACGAAATTTCATGTGTATTCTAATTAATGCATTTTCAGCGCACAAAAATTAAGGAGACGAAACGTTGTGAACATAGTTTCCGAGTATCACCGAAATTATTTTTTTTTTTTTTTTTTAAATGCAGAATTACTTTTTCGTATGTGTAATAATAGCGATGTTCAGAATGAACTCGACATAGTGGACACAACAAATCAAGCACTACCTGTGGGTAGTGCTGCCCGGCTGCTATCGCGTTTCGCCGCTCTTGCTGATATTTTTGTATTTGCTTCTGGAATAAGCTTCAGCGATCTGGAACAGGAAAAAAACATGCCTAGTGGTGGTATT